CAACCCGAACTCCCGGTCCGCTCTCACACGCCTCCTTATATCCTCCTCCCATTTATCCAGCTCCTTCCTTGTGTCTCTAGGGCCAGACAGGCTGGCGCCTGTCAGGCTATCAATCACTCCTTATCACACATCTCCCTGGCAACACCTCCGGTGTCAGCGTGCAACCCCGGACCGACCCCGTCTGCACCCGATTCTCCCCTTAATGAGGTGGAGGTTTGCTCGTGCAACCTCACGTTGCACACGCGCACCTGCCTGCCCTCGGTTGCCCTCGGCCAACAGTGTGCACTGCGTATTTTACCACACTACAGGTGTACCGAGGTGCGATCCCTCCCTCCTCCCATCTCTACCCCTCTCTCCTCCCCCCCTATCTGTGCCCCACCCCCCCCTCTCTCTCTCCCCCTGTCTAAATTCCCCCCCTCCCATCTCTACCCCTCCCCCCTGTCTGTGCCCCACCCTCTCTCTCCCCCTATCCCTCTCGCAGCCCTTTCCCCCGCCCACTCACTCTGGAGCCCTTATAAGCAGCTCCATCTGGAGGTTGGCCCTCTTTTCTTTCCATCTGAAGAAGACCACTTGTTTTGCGATCGAAACGTCGTGGGTTTTTTTGCTTTTGATTTAGATTTTGTATTTTCTATCTACGTGACTTTACCGAAAGAACCAAGAATATGAATTCCTGCAGTCACGAAAGTTTTAAGTATAAATATAATTTCATACATCTATAAACAACCTGACGTTACCCCTCGCGGTCCATGTATCCCTGGTTGAGAACCACTGCATGATAGCATCCAGCCAATGGTGGCAGCAAGGAATAGTTTCTGAGTCATATTGACTCAAAGGAGCTTCAAGAGGTTAGAATGGTGAATGGCTGCTCGGATTGAGAGTTTGTGATTGTGTTCTGGGTCTGGCAGGGATGGTGGATCAATAGGGTGGAAGCCAAATTCGCGCAACTCATTTTACATCAAGCCTTTCACTTAATACAATATACAAATAATGAGTTTAATCAAATTTATTTCGTCACAAAGTAAGCATTTCCTCTTGCAAAGCAAAATAGTAAAAGAAATATTACAATTAATCAATTTTATTCGTTAAGTCAAATGTCATAATTATGGAAACTGATAAGTTTAATGTAAAAAATTTAAGTGTGTCGTGAGTGAGAGCTGTACCATTTCTTTGGTCGAGAATATGTATGCTCATTATTTTCACATTATTTAATTACGTCAACTTGACTGATCATCAAGCGGAGCAGATTAGGTATGGCGATTTCAACCGTAAATGTAACGCGGCAGTGTTGATGGAGTGGGAAGACATGCCAATCAAATCAGTGGTTATAAAAAGGGGGATATTTTTTTTGTAGACTTAATGATTGGATTGCACCCATCTGAATGAAGACTTGTGAGATGAAGAATCACATACGTGATTTGATTACCGTACATTAATGGAGTGGAATTTGTGAAGTAGCTGCGAGGGATTGTTCCCAACGCGCATGGAAAAGTAGCCAAACACAAACTTTTGATGAACCATGCCAAAGGATTGGGAGATTAAAGAAGGCTTTTGTGAACACAGGCACCAAAATTAGAAGTCCTTGTAAAGATATGTGCAGTGTAAGTACAAGTACAGGACCTTGAGATAATCAAAGTCCACCAATTGAAAGTAATCCAGACTTAAGCGGATTTCTGTGTAGAGCGTTATTTTTAAATGTAATACGCATAGGACTTACTGAGATTATAGTGCGAATTATCAAATATCACTTCTAATTGTCATCTCACAGCAGTGATTTAATTTAATAGGATCCATTCGGGACGTGGGACATGTTTTGCGTCATATTTCTCGGTCCATAATGTACTCTCAGAGTTGGATGAACCACCTTGACAAGTGGGATGGTTTTTTTCCCCTTCCTTTTTTAACGAGCTTCACAGCTGCTTGGTTTAATCGCAGAACTAAAATGCACATTTGACTCTTGCGCTGTCGAGATAGGCACACGCTGAATTATCCCCCTTCGTTGTGCCGAGTTTGTGGTGGGGCACTGCACGATGCCTCCAGCGAGCCGTGTTCAAGTCCCGGCCACGGTCAATGTCAGTGGCGAATTCTTTCTGACCCGGGCTTTGTTGATGCCCCTCCTCCGACCTGTACAAACCAACCGTGGTGAAGTATGGTAAAAAAAACCAATCCCCATGACGGACGTGCCATGGGGATGCCCTTACTCCAGCAATAGATTGACAAATTACTGTAAATTACTGTTAGATTAAGTTGATTGCGTGACTTTATTGTGTTGCGTGTCTTGTAAATGTAGCGGGGGGGGTTTATTTAAATTGGTAAAGCAGCACAAATGTCTATGAAAGGAAAACAAATATATAGAGCCAAAAAATACTGTGGAGCATGACTAAAACACATTCCCTGCGAGTAGTATTACATATCCTTGTTAATACTCTCTTTGGTTCTTTCGGTAAAGTCACGTAGAAAGAAAATAAATGAGATAATAGAATACGACGTTTCGATTGCAACACAAGCAACCATCATCAGGTGTGAATGAATGCAAGCTCGGAGAGAGACGCATACAGAGAGAGACAACACAGACACGGAGTGAGACGCACACATAGGGAGTAAGACACAGAGAAAGAGAGAGAGAGACAAACACACACAGAGAGACACACAGAGCTCTGTGTGTCTCTCTGTGTGTGTCTCTCTCTGCGTGTGTCTCTCTCTTCACGTGGCCTCAGGGTGCACATAGCCTGGCACAAGCGTCGTGGTGACGTCACCGCCACTTAGTGGCGAATGGCGGTTGTTGTTGTTGTTGTTGTCTCTCTCTGTGTCTCTCCCCCATGTGTGTGTCTCTCTCTCTCTCTGTGCGTGTCTCTCTCTGTGTTTGTCTCTCTCTCTCTGTGTCTCTCTGTGTATGCGTCCCTCTCCGTGTCTTTGTTATCTCTCTCTCTGTATATGTGTCTCTCTCCGAGCTTGCATTCATTCACACCTGATGACATTTGCTTGTGTTGCAATCGAAACGTCGTATTCTATTATTTATTTAATTTTCTTTCTACGTGACTTTGCCGAAAGAACCAAAGAGTAATTCCTGCAGTCACGAAAGCTTCAAATCATCCTTGTTAATGGGTTTTTTTTACAGAAGTTGTATGTTAAGAAGTTATCTGCTCAGGGAATTATGTAAGTAATTAGATCTTCATTATAGCTAACACAAGAACATCCCTTCAGATCAAGTCATCTCATTGGCTCAAAGCAGAGACCCCTACATCACAAATCATGTTCGCCATCCTTGTTTTGATTTGTCTTAGATCACTTTCACCAGAGCTAAGAAATAACATACTGCACTCCTGCTACAGGATGGACTTATGCGGAAGTGCGGAGTTGGCCTGATAACTTGAATCTAAATTGTCTTATGGTTGTTATTGTTTGTCTTGCATCACACTGGGATTTTTGCACACAGCGTTGTAATACGGTGTGTTGTTTTTTTTTTCCTGCAAAATTTGCTGGTTTATCCAGGATGTTGCTGTTGCGCGTCGTCGCTTTAAGATGTTCTCTGTTCATATTTTATTTGTTGCGGTTGCACCCGACTCAAGAGCCGCATGGCTCACAGGGCTATACCTAATAAATGAAAACTTGAAAAAAAACTTGAAAACTTGAAACATGAACTTGAAAGCCCTAAGTTGGAATCCCAGCCACAGTTAACATTAGTGGTGTTAAACATCTGAACGGGTCCTGGTACTCCCCAATCGTTTCACCAACTCGTAATGACCAGCATGGTGAAGTATGGACAGACAACCCCATGATTGACACATGTAGGGGGGCCTTCATGCAGCAGTAGGATTGACAACTTAACTAATGCCTGCCCATGCTATGTTGGTCATGGTTATTTTTTTTCCATACTTCATCACACTGCTCATTGTGGGTTGATGAAGATCAGTAAACAAAGGGTTAATAATACATGACATACACGTAGTGAAAATAAAACTTTAAATACAATTCAAGCTTGTTTATCGGAGATAATTTAAATTTTCATGGATTCGCAAATGCCACCTCTATTACAGCAACGGGATGTCATGACACGAGGTGTGATTGACTGAGGTCTACGTGATGGTAGGATGCAAAGCAATTGCTCCATGCTGTGGGCATGTGACAAGTTTTAACAACATTCAATTCGATTAAATTAACTTCAAATATAATCATGGTGCTTTCTTGAATGCCTGAACCGTTTTTTTATTTTCTAATACAGCCATTCGTTTCTTCATTTAAAATATCCGTTTCCTCCAGAACGTTTAAATAACATAAACCTTTTGTTTTTTTACAGAACTGCCCCAGAGGATGTCTAATGCATCAGCTGGGTTACAGATTGATTAGACAGTCCATATTGAAGATACAGTAAATCGGCACTGCATACATACCATGTGCTATAGAGTCAGAGATGGAAGACGTTTTAAGGCCATATAAATAGACACGGGGATAGGCATGTTTTATTAGCAATGTGTAACTCTCAAGAGACATTCCTGGTCCTGAGTCGGTGGGGGCAGCGGTTACAGCAAAAACAAGCTTCTTGAAAATCTAAAGGCATTGGGTTATAGACATCACAGAGTGCATATGTACCCTGGATGAGTTTTGCATTTAAACGTTTCACATTTAGGATTTTCAGATTTTTTTTGAGTCATTTGAGATATTTTTTCGGGTCTTCAGATAATTTTGCACCATGTAATCCTTTCACCTGTCCTCACGCTCACAAAAGTAACATCACCGATGTCGAATTGCACCAATTTGGTAATGTAATTCCTTACGATCAATTTGAAACAAACAAAAACAAATTCGGGATCATCTGACATTTACATATATACCCAATTTTAGTTGAGATCTATATTAGCATGGTTGGCTAGGTATGGTGCGAAAGATGATAATCATACATATACACATTTTCAGATGATCTTGGATTATTGGAGAAAAAAATGAAGGAACACATCCCGAATATGTTGAACCTACTAATTGCATCGTATAATTTTCATCCGCAGCTTTGGGATTCAGCACGACGGGCAAGGCAACGACTGTGAGCCGGTGGGCAAGCGTCCATTCATCATGTCCCCGCAGTTACTGTACGACACCAGCCCCCTGACGTGGTCACGCTGCAGCAAGGAGTACATCACCCGTTTCCTTGAGTGAGCGTGGCACAGAACCATGGCCGTGATCGATCACACGTGTGTGCACCGGCGGGGCCGCGAGTCGATCGCAACACAAAGCCACGGAAAGCCAGCGAGGGACGGCACCGTCTCTCGCTGGTTTTAGACAGCTATCAACCACATAGAGAGATGCCAACTTAAAAAAAAGAGTTGCATCGTCTCAAGAATGACATTGTTGGCATCTTGGGGCGTGGTAGGCCACTGCTGTGAATTCTGCAGCACTCTGCCTGTTAAGTCACCCAACCAATATGGACACATCACCTTTAATGTGGCCCAACTTGGTGGGTCGCAGAAGCTTGGTCGGCTCGAGCCTGGTTAGTACCTTGGATGGGTGACGAGCAGGCGTTGTAGACATGGTTTCTGTGGGGTGGCTGGGCGATGCGAGTGCTGAGTGTCGCCTCCTCGTAGACGTGGGGTTTCTCTAGACGCTAAGGTTTCCTCTGACATGCCACACACATCTTCTTTGGTTCTTTCGGTAAAGTCACGTAGAATGAGAATAAAATAGCGAAAGAACCAAAGAAGATGAAACCTTGCAGTCACGAAAGCTTTAAATCGAAATTCCACACACATGTTACTATTATTGGTCAGACATTCCAATGCAAGACCCTCCAGAAAACAAAAACATCTTGAGACATTACTGGGTAAATAATTGGCATTGTTGTTCCTATTAGTATTAGATATAAGGTGATAATCTACGATTGGCAATATTAGTGAGGCTGTAGACAACGTATTAGCGGTAGCAACGTTTAAAAACGTGGCTACAGTCTTCACTGCAATTCATATTAAACCGTTTAACCCCATTTGGGAATGGTATGAAAGCAGCGCAGGCCAAATTTTCTCATTAATATTTGTGTGCAATATTTCAATGTGTAATGAAAGGGAATAACAATGTGCCACTGCCACCACCCATGCCACAGAGTGCAGTGCACAGCATATATGTTGTGTCTCAACGTAAAAAAATCTCTGACGTGGCCAACATCACTTTCACCACAATCCATTAAAAAAATAGTATGCTTTACAGGCCAGAAAGCAACAATAAGAGGCCATGTTACATTCACGACTGGTTTTGCACAATCACAAAATATATATTTTTAAATATTCCAAAAAAATCATAAAAAATATCTGCAGCACATTAGCAGCAACGTGCCACACTAGCCTCAGTTATAAACGTAAAATGATGGCTTTGTTCAGTGCAGAAACCCTTTGCCCCACATCTCGTGACATTAAACTCTGTCATGATGCCCAGCCGAGGCTGGGGATTCTGCCTGGATGATGGCCCAGCAAAGCCTCATGACTTGTCCGTGCCATCCCTGCCTCCCGGGAGCCTCTACGATGTCAACCAGCAGTGCCGGCTGCAGTATGGGCCGGACTCACGCTTCTGCGATGGAGTGGACGTGAGTTGCCGATTTCGAAAGCACACATTTTAGTGGATGCAACCACAGTGGTGTCATGGTTATCGCACTGTTACAAAGTGAGAATCAATTACTTCCGATTTATGCAAATGAAATGTCAATGTTACATTTAAGCCAGCTAAGGAAACAAGAATGCAATAGTCAATGAAAAGATAACCCATAGAAATGAGATGACAAATACGTACTTAATTTAATCACGATCCTGATTCGTGACAATTCACCAGAGACCATCATTCATTAAATGCATATCGACTTAGGTTCCCAGAGAGTATTCTAACTCATGATAATTATTTTTAAATTATATATGCAGATGGTAGGTTCACAACATACTTTTTGTATTTGTTTATTTGCCATGAAAAAGGGCCATTCGTCGCCAGTGATATATATATTTCCTTTTTAATGCCACAGTGTTATTGACGAATGTGTTGAGTGTTTTGTTACTGTCTGTAGTGACTTGAACTGCCATTCTGCTGCAACTGCAATTGAGTTTCTCATCACCATCTGACAGCAAGAGATCAGTGTGACCTGCCAACCCCGCCTCCTAGTTGCAGCAGAATAGGAACACTACACAATTCCCTGAACACTTCGAAATGTTCATTTTCACACCACTGGCATAGTATTTTGCATCTTTTTTTCTATTCGTTTTACGGAACCTGAATTAAATATGACATGGAATGGAAATGCAAATGTATATATTTTTTCATCCCATACAATGCCCTTTTTTATCACTAACTGTTCTCACCAGTTTTTTTTTTGTACAGCGAAAGAAAAATGAAAAGCATTTGCAGGCCTCGTTTATTTGTTTACTTCGTTGTTTGAATGTTGCCACAACTTATCTGTGTTGTATGTTGTTGAACTCTTTTCGCACCATACTTAGCCAACCGTGCTAATCGGTGTTTCAACCATGAAGAAAGACACATTGAACAAACAAAAAAATACGCTCATTTCTACTTATACATGTGTAGCTTTAAAAAAACAAAACCCACTTTGCAGAAAAGGCAAGGGCACCGCGGTGGCAAGATGTTAACTACCTCACCCGGTATACAGGAGGTCGTGGGTTCGATCCCGACCCTGACCGCCTGTGTTTGTGGAGTTTGCGGTGTCTCTCTCCCCATGGTCGTGTGGATTTTTCTCCGGGTCTTCTGGTTTTTCTCTCCACATTTTCTCATTCATATGTCAGAGTACCTTTAAAAGCTTGTCTTAAAACACGTTAATACGCTTCAACTTGAATCATTCCGCCATTTCTTAGTTTCCAGTTTCACGAGGTATCGTCATGCTGAAGCTGCTGTGTCTTGTCCTTGTATTTTTTTTCTCTTTCATACATCAGAGTAAGTTTGAAAGCTCGTCTTAAAACATTCATTCGCTTCGACTTGAATAATTTAGCATTTCTTTGTTTTTTAGTTTCACGAGTTATCACCACGCTGAGCGTCCGCTGCTGTGTCTCATCCAGTGCTTTGGGATCATCGATGAAAGGCGCCTGATAAATATAATTATATATCAAGCGTTATGTGTTGATGTTGAAGTGAGCCAGTCGAGGGCTACGGGAGCGACGCCGTGAACGTTCCGAGACGTCGCCAGCGGGCGTTGCCGGACGACGCGTTCCACCGTTTGGCTTCGCTCCTCCATCCTCCGCCGGTGTGGCCGGCGGGGCGCCCTGCTGTGCGACGTCCACGCGCGGCTCGAAGCGGACCGTTGCCGTCCTTGGCAGCTCCTGCTCCAGCGGTCTCTGTGCCGGGGTCGGCGGCGAGGCTCTCGGTGGGGACGTTGCCGTCGTCCCACGCCGTTCTCCACCACCGCTCGACGTCGAGAGCTTGAGGGCACCGACTGGTTGAAGGAAGGTAGTAAAAATAAAAACCAAAATAAACCTCCTTGTGCGCGAGCAGGACGTGTGTCGCACGCTGTGGTGCACCGTGGGATCTACCTGTCACTCCAAGATGGACGCTGCAGTCGAGGGGACCAAGTGTGGCGAGGATAAGGTAGGATGATGCCCATCGCGCTGCGGAGTTTAACGCGGCCGCCTGCCCTTGTTTCCTGGATCGTCCCCTTGATGAGGTAGATATTGTGGAAAATCTGCAGGTCTTCCCGGAATATTAAAAGTCCCAATTTTTGTCAGTTGTGTACTGACACACTGCTCAAGACAGTGCATTCAAATGTAGTGCCCTCCTCTTCTAGCATTGTGAGATATTCTTCTTGCCATATTTCACATTTTTTCTCAATCTCAGGGGTGGCAGCCCTTGTAGGGTTGTGCACAGATGTCCTTATTTTGTAATGCAAGGCATATCCAAAATTGTTTCATCCAAAAACGAGTAGAGCTTCGGAGGGTTTTTTTGGGGTTGTGCTGGATAGCTGTCCAGTGGAATTTCGAGTTGTAGCACTCGTTTCAACTTGTTACACAGAGAAAAACTTTGGGGGCAAAATATCAGACGTCATGCCAAACAACACCCGGTAGTACCTGAAAACACATCGGAGTGCTATGAACAGAGCTCCTCACCCAAACTTGTTCCCGCTGGAAAACCTCCGATAAGACAACCGATATTGACTTCCCACAATGTAGTACGCGTTTTAGCAACCCCGCGGAATGGAGGGCTGAGTCAACCCCTGGCCGGCATATGAACTCACAAACTCATGCGAGCCACACATTCTAACCACTGCAGCACCCAGTAAGACTCGCTATGCATCTTAATCTCAGTCCAAGCAATTAACATGACTGACTTCTTTCCAGGTCCCCCTCGCAAAAGATGTTTTTAGCCTCGAGGATTTTTTTTACCTGGTTAAATGAAGGTTAAATAAATAATCCCTTCGCCACTGGTCCTGATCACATCTGCCGATCAGCATATTCGCATGCATCACACTGAATTATACAGGGTGCTTCAAAAAAATATTAACACTTGTATTCGACTTTTTTTGAATAGAAAAAGAACGGATAATAATACACTGTGACATAACAAGTGTAATGTTAATAGCTTCAAAAGTCAAAGAGTCTCTACTTGTTCGCCATCATTGTCAACACATTGCCTGGAATCTTCTCTAGGTGGTCCCCAGAGCCCGGAGGCACATTTCTCGTGGCATTGTTGCAAATTCGCGGACGTGTTAACATTTTTTTGAAACACACTGGACGTTATCCTGTTGTTCTACAATGTCTCTTTCTGTGGGTGATCTAATATTTGAGGTGATAACTGCTCTGCAAGAGTTCTGAATTAACACTTCGTTTCATGGCGTTGGCCTTGATAGCAACATTTTATGCTGTATTTTTTTCAAAGAGTAACATTTAAATTTTGCCAATGAGGGACAATTTTCATTGACAGAAACTCTCCTTAGAAGTTTCACTTTGCTTAGAAAGGTCATATTAACAAGGGATGCAATTATTGACGGTGCCTCGTGGATTAGAAGTGGTGGATTAGATGGGTGAAACAAAGCTCACGTGAGTGTCTATTACGTTTGTATGTCGGCGAAGATTAATACAATTGTTGTGGTTCCACTCTCGTAGGTGCTAATCTTACATCAAATCGTTGCTTTTGGGTAGACTTCTGTAGTTCTAATTAACATCTCAGACAACTTGTATTTATCCAAAATAATAATTATCCATAATAGAGGTTTTTTGGTTAGATCGCGTAAATATTTACGTGATAACCTGGATTATGGATAATATTGGTCGTGAAATCCTACGTGTTAAACTAACTTGTATTTAGTCTGACACAACTAGATTAAAAACGTCAGTAATTCCTATTGCTCTGGATTGTTTGGATAATCTATACAAAACCTTCAACGTTCAGAAAAAAAATGTCCCATAATTGTCACCGAGGGCCAACAAAACAACGTTTTAATGTATTTGTACGTGCATTGCATATGAATAATAAACCATGGGCATATTTCCAAGGCGTGTGTAAATGCAGAGCTTAATTTCAGCAAGAACTGTCTGCAGCCAGATTTCTGTCAGGGTAGCGTGATTGTTATTGGGAGGCACTGTAAAATATTCCATGAGAAATTAAGCCCTGTGTGCTTTAATGCTATCAGTACAGCTTTCAAAAAGGGCCACGACCTCTTTTTGCTTCGCATTCATATTTTATTTACCTTGCCTGGCCTTGACACTGGTGCATATGATTGTGTGCAATCACGTATTGCCATTCATAAGCCTACGTATTAAAATGTATTGCCATGCGTGTGTTCCTGCGTGTGTATGCGCGTGTGCGTGCACGCGCGCATTCGTTCGTTCCTGCGTTTGCGCAGTGGTGCTTCCATGGCGAGTGCGTGACCGTAGCTCAACGCTCGGGCTCCGTAAACGGCGACTGGGGAGCGTGGAGCTCGTGGTCGCACTGCACGCGCACATGTGGCGTGGGCGTGCAGTCAGCTCTCCGCAAGTGCAACAACCCCACGTGAGATGGGCACCGCACACCCATGCCCGTCAAGAGCACTGCTCCACCGAGCCTCTACCCAAGCGCTAGATGAACGTGATTAAAGAGGTGGCTGGGTAATATAATCATTTATGAAGCATCCTTAAACAGTCGTTCTCAGGGTGTATGCATGAAAAGACAGAAATAGTTTAACATCAAGCAAGGAAAGAAGAAGTGAGAAAGACGTTTGAAAATAACTAAAGAGAGAAGGCAATTTGGAAACAGATATATTTTTAGTCGAGATTTGAAGGTGTGTAGTGTCTTGGAAGTTCTGACCTGTAAGGGCAAAAAGTTACAGAGTTTAGGTGCCGCAATTGCGAAGGCACCATCACCCCCAGGTGTGAAGCCGAGACCGTGGGAGAGTGAGCAATACACAATCTGAGGATCTTAATGATCTTGATGGAATATATGGCTGGAGGAGGTCATGAATGAAGGGAGGAGCAATTCCATTTAAGGCCTTGAATACCAGCAAGATAATTTAAAATCAATACGGGTACAGACAGGGAGCCAGTGAAGGGACAGCACAGGTGTGATGTGATCGTTAAAGAGTATACCAGTTAACACCCTGGCAGCCAACATTTTTTACATACTGCAGCCTGTTTATGAGCTTGCTCGAGGTTCCAAAAAGCAGGGCATTACAGTAGTCAATACGGGAGGAAACAAATGTGTGCATCAGTATTTCAATATCTGCAATGTTAAGGATGTGATGGGGCTGGGATATGTTTCTCAGGTGGAAAAAAGAGGTTCTCACGGTTCTGTTGAATGGGACTCAAAGGATAAAGTTTGATCGGCAACATGTGTACGTCCCTGTCGAGATTGTTGAGCGAGCCAATAGATGGCTTGAGGAGTAGCCCGACTGATGAATATCTAAAAAGCGAATGAGCTAAGCTTGCCGTGGTATGCCATGGCATGAGCAGGCACCTTTGAGCCCTCATAGGGCTCTGAGACTGAAAGTTTTGTTGCGAATGATCTATATAACATTGATATATAATGATGTAACTTACGGCCAAACACGGCAACATCTTATTTTGCGGAGTAGCTGTGAAAATGTCAGTTCTGGGTTGTACAGGAACACACCTGATAGGGTAAGCAACCATCCTTTTAAGACTTGATTTTTGGCAGGGAATATAACTGTGACCCTACTGTCAAGCAGCCAGCAACAAACAGCACTAATGAAGGTACAATGGATACTACGTACATATATATAGGACTATACTCTATGGTTCTATTCGGTAAAGTCACGTAGGTAAAAAATAAAACAACAAAAATCACGACGTTTCGGCCACAACACAAGTGGCTTTCATCAGGTGAAGGGACCGGACTGTCCAGAGGACAGCGTTGGAGTGAAGACAGCCAAGCCCAGGTCGTGTCCTTTAAGCTGTGTGGGAGGAAACAAAAAACGCCTTCACAAAGGAATTAGCATAAACTGATGTAGCATGAAATGATGTACTGGACCGGCACGGGGAGGGGGGGGGGGAGTTTACATAATGTTGGTGTGAAGGGAAATAAGCTGCTGTGAAAGTTTGGGATACCACTTTTTGAATAAATATACTGCACAATTGAAAAATAGTTTAATGTTTGGTATGATTTAGAACATCTTTCCAACGATTGCTTAATTTGAAACCATCCTCTCGGTTGAAATTGTGTCACCTTCTGATTGGAACCACGTAGACAACATGACTGCTTCTTCTGCTGATTCACTGTCAGTCAAATGCAAAGCTAACCTGATTTCTAAAATCAACCACCTATATACAAGCACAGATACAATTTCAACCGAGAAGATGGATTCTGGCTTAGCAATCATTGGAAGGATTTGATAAACCATTTCAGGTCTTAATTAATTGTTCACGCTTACAGTGGCTTTCAGACCGCATCCATTAATTTTCGTCTCCCCCCTCCTCTTTTCAGAACATAGATGGACTAGTCCTTCTAAATAAACTGCCAAATCGCTGCGCGTGGCACTGACGTGTTTTATATATAAATAAATAAATAACCCGTTTAAAAATTAATACATTTATGCAAACTGACACACCTGATGACGACCGTTTGTGTTATGGTCGAAACGTCGTGAGAATTTTTTATTGTTTTATATATTTTTTTATTTTATTGTTTCCCTTCAACGTGACTTTACCGAAAGAGCTAAGAATATAATAATCTTAGTTTTGTGTATTGTTGTGTTTCTCAAAATATTTCCTTCTGTAGTCCAAGAACAAAGTATAGAAGTAATGTCTATTTAATTTCTCAATTCTCGATCCAGCCATTGCATTTTCTTTTCACGGTGTAAAGGTAAAATATTCACAAAGGCACTTTTCAGAGAATTCTACAGTATCACAATACATGCTCCTTTGAATTAATTGAAACTGTCAAGGGAAATATAATCAGATGCATATATGCATGAACAACAAAGAATGCAAAGCCAAATTTAACATAAATTATAAAAAGTGTTACTTTTACAACAGTTTTACTACATTTCAGAAAAAGGTTTATTTGTATTTTGTGCACTCTTAATAATAATTTACAGCCCATTTTTCAATTAACCAGTGAATGACGGTTTCCTTCACCTCGTCATGCTGGTCATAAGGGGGTTGTTGAACCATATTTCACCATGCTGGTCAGTGCGGTTCTTTCAAGGTGGGAGAAGCTCAAGACCAGTTCGTATATCACTCACTAATGATGTGAGCCATGGTCGGGAATCAAACCCACGTAGCCGGGTTCATAGCGCAGTGATTGAACGACTATGCCAGCATAGATTTACAAGCAGGAAATATGCCGGTCTAAATTATGGAATTTGTTATGTTTTTCATTCTGCTGTAATTACTCTGGGTGGGGGAGGAAATTTAGGGAGTAGCTGTGAAAATCTGAGTTGTGGATTATAAAGGAACACGCCTGAAGGAATAAACAACCGTCCTTTATAACTTTGTTTTTTTCACCCAAATGTACTCTTTTATAAGTGCAAATAGCTTGAGGTCAGAAAGAAGAGACGTAAGTAATAAGAGGTGTGTGTGGGGGGGGGGGGGTCTCTCAAAAAACACATTAGCAGCTTCGTTAGAATGAACTTTTTGAAAATGGGTTTGAGGTTTTTTCTCCTATGCCGTTGAGTTCCAAACTGCCTGCCAAGTACAAACAGCAATGTGGCCATATGTCACGCAGATGTAGCTTGAAAAATCGTGAGTTTTACAAACCCTCCCCACCATGTCACGTGGCTCACTCTCTAGGGTGCCTTATATAATGCAGATTATAATTTCCCCCCTCTGTTATTATAGTTGGTCTTCTAATTTAAAAGACATTGCAGTGGTTGGTTAGCACATTGGACTTGCGATCAGAGGTCGCCATTTGGAACTACGGCACGGAAGTTGAAACAATGGTGCAAGTTTCTTAAATCCCAACCCACCCCTGCCTCTGTCCACCCAGCAGAAAAAAATGGGTTCACCGCAGTTGGATGATCGTTAGCAAGTGTGGGGTGAGGTAAAGTATGTGCAATCCCACCTCCCCCAAGAAGGCATCTGGGCAGCAGGAAGGGGAGGCCTCCACTACAAAGGCCCTTCCACCAGCAGTAGTGTGATCAAGCAGTTGCAGTCCTGCACCTTTACCTTGGCCTCTTACAGATATACAAACACGTGTTTATGTGAAACAGATTTTTTTTCTACTCCCATTTCCCTGCATTGTATGAATCTGGAATTTAAACACAGCAGTCTGTGGCATGCATTATAGTGCCTCGTATATTCAATTGGCTGGAATGGTGGTGGTGGATTGGTGCTGTGAACCTGGTGACAGGATTTTGATTCCTGGCCAATGACAAACATTACTGACAAATGATATCTGAACAGGTCCTGGTTGCCCTTTCACAAAACTACACTGACCACTATAGTGATGTATGGACAAAACTACTAGTGTGACCAACGACAAAGAACGGAGGCCTTTATCAAGCAGTAGATTGGCAAAAAGGGACAATAAAATGGTATTACTCATTACGCACATACTATTATCATGGTTGGCTATGTATGATGTGAAAGGAGTTCAACATACATATCTATGAAATATGCAGGGAGCAACAACTAAATCACAACTCCTAAAACACCAAACATAAAATGTCATATCTATCAATAATGATAAAACGCATCATGTCTTGGAGAGCACATTTTAGCATCCTGTTGAAACTATCTCTTGTTATGTGTTCCACGTGAATAGTTGCTTAAAACATTCACAACTGACCACAAAAGATCGATGCCAATGTTAGACTTCCCAGGGTTTAGCGAGTAAATAGTGCATTTGAGCTACAAGTTATTAAAATCATCCTCTTAAGTTTAACACGTAGGCTTTCGCGACCAACATCCATAATAGAGGTTTTTGGGTAGATCTCGTAAAAATCATCCTCTTAAGTCGCGTCTCTTCGTATGGAGATGCTATTCCCTTGAGCACCTGGCCATATATTTTCCCACAATTCCACCTGACCATATTTCCAGAACTAGTTACAAAGCATGTGACTGAATCTAACACAGCAATAGAAACACACATGTCAATTTATTTTGACCCATGAGCATTAAACAGCCATTGATTGCAGAGGATTGAACCCCATAGCAGACTCATGTGTCAGTACCCTTCATTTAACCAAGACATTAAATATAGTCCCATTGAGACAATGTGATACATTGCCTCGTTTGCAAGGGGGACCTGAGTTGTTATAGTGATCATTAATAAAAAGAAAATGTATACACATTTTAAAATGTCACACATCTAAAGACTAAATGTTACAATAATTTAATACAGATTTTAATAAGTGGGACGGGAAGTCAGCCAAGAATGGAAGACACATGGGAGGAAGCCGGTGTTGGCAAAGCACGTGTTACATACACATGAGAACACGTGATGGACGGTCGAGGATGGAGGCTGGCGAACATTCGAGTGGGAGGATGTTCACTGGCGAGCACGCACATGGATGATGTTATACAAATTATCAACAAAGGGCCACGTGCTTTATTAATGTGCACCGGCCACCATGGAAATTCTGCCACAATTCTATCATCAGTGACCACGTCACCGTATTCAGCTGTCAGGGTGGATTATGGAACACGTAAGCTCATAAAGCCTCGGCACTTTTTTTTGTTTTACATTTAAAATGCAGTGAAAATGTTGTGCAAAGTGCCTGGCGTGCTAATGACTAAGGTTTTCAGTCTTGAGCTGAATTACTTAATGCAAATTCACCTCAGATGTGTTTTTTTTCTTTGTTGTCCCTGACCGTACTGTAGTCGTCCTTGTGTGTAGAGATGGAATCTGATCTGATGAAGCTGCATGAAAGTGGTCCTTGTTGCCAGTCATGGCCTTTAGCCTCCGACTTCCCCATGCGCGTTCCCACCCCCGCGCTCCATTCAACTGTTGTTTAAAAACAATGCACAGCGGTCACTAATTTTTTTTCAAACACCAGTTGCTCTATTTTTCGATTTAAAGCTTTCGTGACTGCAAGGATTCATCTTGTTTGGTTCTTTCGGTAAAGTCACGTAGAATGAGAATAAAATAATAAATTGATGAAATAAAATAACACAATAAAAATTCTCATGACGTTTCGGCCACAACACAAGCGGCCTCCAGACAGTCTCGTCCCTTCACCTGATGAAGGCCGCTTGTGTTGTGGCCGAAACGTCGTGAGAATTTTATTGTGTTATTTTATTTTATCAATTTATTATTTAATTCTCATTCTACGTGGTGACTTTACCGAAAGAACCAAAGAAGAGGAACCAGTTGCTCTATAAAGTAGGGTTGTACCATCGGATCAGATTGGATTGTATCGAAAAGTGTGCAATCCCCGACCCATCCTGTCTAGCAGTTTGGGAGATTGCCTTTGCCTTACCATTACAACGGATTGCAACTTATTGAAAAGAAAATAACATCATATTAAGTCCAATCTCTATCTTTAAAAAAAACATATACCCGCATTCATTGATTTCATGTGCAGGGCAACAGTTTTAACCTTTTAAAACAAATTCGAGTGGCTATAATTCGTACATAGAATAGTAGTTAATCACGTAAAATGTAAAAAAAACACGTTTGAATAGAAATATCATTAAATTGTGAATGAGCAAACTAACTTGTAAACAACCTCAGAACCGCACAGTCCTATTTTATGTCATTGCAGTTGGTGGAGTCTCAGGACAGGTGGAGAATATGCATCATGTGCTGAATTTTATGCTGAAATAAACCATGGCAATTATCATTGACCTCTCTTTGGACGTGTATATGGAGCAAATAACGTTTTTTGAATGACATTATAAACAAACTATTCTGCAAAAAAAAATCACCCGCCACTGATGACCTGAAAATATTTATTCTTACAACATTGAAAAATATTTTATTTCACTCGGCAAAGATGAAAAGTTGTTTGATTTTTGTTTCATCGGCTGGGTCCATTGTGTGTGAAAAGAAAGTCCTTTTAAAATCACCAGAGGTTAACGTGCTGCAAAAATTTAAATTCCCGGTTCTATTTTATCCTGAAGCATCATTCGTGACGCCGGGAGCCATACAAACTCTCAATCCTGCTAACTATGTCTCACCCTCCAGGGCTATTCCACGTCTCACTTCTCACTTCAGCTCCTCATTCGTCCTACCTTTTTGTAGTTCATCCTCTAGGTCTTGTTCCTCATTGGGTTATAGTCTGTGACTATATTGGGTATCCTTTAATAATTGTTATTACCAATGTTAATTTACTATATTCGGTATTTGAGCCATTCTTAGAGCGCGAGGCTATTCCGAAGGCACTATGTTTCACAGGCATAGTCTGCAGAAGTTTCAGAGTAGGGGCGATATTGATATATGTTTCCCAATTTTGTAATTTGCAGGTGATTACAAAAAATGGAACATGATGCTGGCACACATTAAACACGGGATGTTTATTGTCCACTGTGAAGCAGATGGCGCATATTTTACAATCATTACACTGCAGTAACCAGGGCGGCCTGCTGGATATGACCCGCAAACGTCTGCAACAGATGCCGAATGTGTTACCCACCATTCTGAAATGATGTCCAAACCGCCTCGGTCTTCTTGTCTCCAGCCAGTGCCTAACGCTGAGTTCACAGTCAACATCTTTACTTTATAATTAATTGTAAGCACTCTCATAGTGATTACAGTTCATTCAATTGGATTCCCAGTCACGCTTCATGGACAGAGTGGCAGCGCTAAGCATACCAAACAAATGCTCACGGTCCCAATCAGTAAAGGGACCCAAGATTGATGAGAAAACTAAAAATAAAATCGTATTATAAAACGCCTTTCTTTAAAAATTCACAAAGCGCTGAACAATTATGCAACAGTATTGTGGCCACACGAGTGGTCGTCCGGGCCGTACGGAAAAGAGAGAAACGTGTAAAAGCTTTAACAGCCACAGTGGATTATGACGAGGGAGGACCAAAAGCAACAGAAAAAACATCGATTTTGAAGCGTCCCTTTAAATTATTAACAGAGACTGAGTCACGGATGTGAATCGTGAGTGCATCCCATAGGCGGGGAGCCATGACGCAGAATGAATGGTTACCCTTAGATGGAAGACATGTCCTCGGGATGCGGAAAATAAAACGTTCTGAGGAGCATAGGTGTCAATATGGTTCAATAGGTCACGACTATAACTCGGTGCGAGCCCTCTAAATGCTTTAAAGGTAAAACAGTAGCATATATGTCTTACTAAGAGCCAGTGGAAGGAGACCAGCACTGAGGAGTTGCATCATGCATCACCTAATTTTTCAAATCATAATAACAAAATCGTTCATATTTGAAAACAACCTAATTCATCTCTACACATATCTCTTCTCTTGTTACGCTACACCTCAATTTCTGCCTGCATTTTTTCTTACCTCGATACATCCACAGCTCTTGTCGATATGTCTCCCGTCATCTCAACGGAGCCCAAATATTACTTCTATTTCAGCACCACCGCTCAAAGTACAGTTTCTGGAGCAAGTCCATTGCCCGAGCCTTTTTATTTTTTTGCCAACCGTCCCGTCGGCTCCCCGCCTGCTCCTCAGGCCTCGCTTCGGCGGACGATACTGCGTGGGCGAGCGCAAGCGCTACCGGACGTGCAACGTGCAGCCCTGCTCCGCGGACGGCCTCTCGTTCCGGCAGATGCAGTGCAGCGAATTCGACACGGTGCCCTACCGCAGCGGGCTACACAAGTGGGCGCCGCTGTTTGGCACAGGTGAGCGGCGGATTGCGCCAAATGTCGCTCTGCACGGGCGGCAACAAATTAGCCGTGCCTTCTCATCTTCTGCGGCTACGACAAGATTGTTGCTCGTGATGGAACGGTGTGATGATGCGCTTAACAACAACAACAAAATAGTAATAGAGAAACATTTTCCGAGGGGAAGAGTCAAACTGGGTGAGAACACATAAGATCGATTTATGTATTGTATTTTCGCCGAGTTAAAGATTCACGGCATGCACCGATCATAAATCATGTGAGTTTACTCTGGTAGTATCTGGATTTATTGGAAAAACTGCAATCTTACAAAATATTCGATTTTTTCCTAAATGTGAAGCAAATTAAGCTCCCAAATGTAATGAATTTTACCTTAAATGTTAAATGTCATTTTCAGAATGCCTTAAAAAGTTTAATCCCCTTCCTGTCATGTGTCCATTATATTTATTCATTGATCAACATTTAAATTTCAGTTACCACTTTTATTTTACAAATATTAAAATAAAAAGTCAAACGGTTTCAAACTCCATTTTTGAAACAGGGCCACATAATCCACAAACATTGTGTCCATTGAGTTCGGTTAACTGTGAAGGACTAACTTGATGTTACGTTTTTCAAATTATAGACCCATTTTGTTCCACATAATTTTTTTATAACGAAACTATCTTTTTTTTTTCCAGGTATGGCCTACTGAACTATGTAGCTCTTTGTCAGAAGTGACCTGGCCACAAGTGATAGCCCAATGAAATGCCATAGCATGTGGAAATGTATTGCAGCCACATACTCTAAACGCATGTTTCTAAATGTGGAGGGAAAACCAGGGGACCTGCAGAAAAATCCACGTGACCACGGGGAGAACATGCAAACTCCAAATATACAGGCAAACAGGGCCAGGATCGAACCCAAAATCTCCTGTATACCAGGAAAGGTAGTTGATATCTCACCACCGTGGTGCCCCATGCCGTATAGGAGGTATTATATCCAGTTAAATTGCTCTGACATAAGATGGCATTGAGCACACTGCCTTTCGACCAATCCACTTCTGGATGAAGGTTTTACCTCGCAGTCAGTTGTGGGTGGTTGTTTGACCGTACTCCACCATGCTGGGTAGTGTGGATTGGTGGGTGTGGGTGGGGGGCAACTAATGACCGGTTCATCTACCACTCCCCACTGTTGTTAGCCGTGAGAGAAAATTAAACCCGAGGCCGCCAAGTTCCATAGTGCTGCGCATGAGCCAACGCACCACCCTTAAACCCAAGAGGGAATTACTTTCACCACAGAGCGATGCTAGTTGTGTCCCTTGCACCAGCGCTAGCGTGCTTTGCTTTGTTTCTATTTGAAATGCCCTAATGCATGGCATTGAGGGCAAACTGTGCAAAGTGATGGTGCCACTTTCGCCAATTTCAACAACAACAAATTGTGATACTGCATTAGCAGTAGTGCACAAACAAGGAATAATAAAAACTGAACACAGAGAGATAATCTCTCTGTTATTAAAAAGGGCCATTGCCCAAAACATTGGCAATTATATATATACTATTCTTGGTTCTTTCGGTAAAGTGACGTAGAAGGGAAGCAATAAAATAATAAATCAGATCAGATGATGATTGCTTGTGTTGCAGTCGAAACGTCGTGAGAATTTAATTGTTTTATATATTTTATTATTTTATTGTTTCCCTTCTACGTGACTTTACCGAAAGAACCAAGAATATTAATCCCTGCAGTCACGAAAGCTTTAAATCAAAATATATACTGTTATATACATCAGCGGTGGCCAACTGATGTCTCCCGAACCGCACGCGACTCTTTCATCCACCACATGCGGCTATCTATCGAAGTGGCATAACATAGAATATACTATCACCGTAGCAAATAATAAAACATTAAAGTTATATAAGTTGTATGATATAATAGTGTATATATACTCTTGGCTCTTTGCATAACTCAAGGGTACATTTTGGCACTTGGTCTGTTACAGGTTGGCCAGTTGTTATTGATGTCTGTTGAGTTCTGTCACTCACCAAAGGTGGGCTCACGATCTCTCCTCCATCTCTGCATGTGCCAGCAAACTCGTGTGAGCTGCACTGTCGACCTATGGTGGGATATTTTTCCGAGAAGATGCTGGATGCCGTGATTGATGGAACCCCCTGCTACGAAGGCAATGCGAGCCGGGACGTTTGCATTGATGGCATCTGCAAGGTGCCGGCTGCTGGCAGGATTCCTGCAATTTTAATCAATGACACACGTTGGCACAAGAGTTATTCCTAATCAACGGACCGCGTCTTTTTAACTCTCAGTAATTCTGAAAAAAAATCCTTTTAAAATGTCACTTTTAGTTTGCACATACATTGCGATTTTCTATTTGGAATTGAACTATCTTTGTGCCACTATTAACTTTATAGCAGTTTTATTATCTTATTGTCATTTATATAGTGCCTTTGCCAAGGCGCTTGACAGAGAATTAACTATGGTACATATACATGTGTGTATAAATAACAAGCAAGACATTGATCATACATCAAATAAATCACATTCCTGAAAAACAGTGGTGAAGCTTGGATTGGCTTTCCTGGCCAAATCCCGGATAACTGTTGTTATTGCTGTATGATGAGAAACATTCTCTCCAAATGATACCTTATCACTGGGTTCCCATCAATAAGTATGATAAATGAATTAAAGTTTATTTGTGTAAGTCGATAAACTTACGATTTACAAAATGTAAGTGTTACTCTTTAACGACCAAAACGAGTGAAGTGCACTGTGATTTGTGCATTGATTCAGTGCCGGATTATCCTCGTAGCAAAAGTAGCACATGCTGCAGGCCCCACACTTTCAATGGCTCCGCACTTTCAAGGGCCCCGAGCTAAATGCTTTCAAGCTATCAATTCCGGTTCAGTGATTCTGCACTTGCTCTGTTGCTATAGTACTATACCACCTTCAACTTGTATGAACGACTGCGTGTTTAAAGTTAGCGATTTGTCGTATTATCTGGCTGTATAGCAAATGAAAAAATACAATTACTTCACGATGAAAGTAAAAAAATGTGTGTTTTAATTTTTATGGATTTTTTATTTAGGGCCCCTTTATAACATATGCTACAGGCCCCGCACTCGCTTAATCCGGCACTGCATCATATTCACGGGGTCCTATCCCCAATCACAAAGGTATTCAATTTGATAGAATTCATCACATGTATGTAATTTGAATTAAACTCATTCACGGTGTAATAAATGCATTTAGTCTCTGGATATGAAACTGAAATACATTTTATCGTCTTCGAGAGTAACATAAGTTTATTTGAAGGACGTATGAATTTGGATCTGTCCTGTAAAAAAATTTAAAACCTTCATTTGAATAAAGAACACTCGTAAAAAATTAAACTGGAAATCTGGTAATTAAATATGCTTACATGATTCTAGCCTAATTCTATTTATCATTCAGCGGGGTTCAAGTCAAACCTGACAAACATTTAACCACGGCATTATAATTATTATTGGGAGCAGAACAGATCTACCAAATGAGTTGTTTCAGCTCCGCTCACTGTATATGTGATACATTTGCTCGTGTAATATATATGGACATTTTTTTGTAGTAATTTTATTTTCTCGGTTTATTGTAGTCTATTGCATACTTTAACTTAGGAATGTTGCGATAAAGCTTGTGTGTATATCTGTGCATTGTAAGAAATATGTATGTTCTAAAGTGAGTGAGGCATGCGACTAGGCAGATTGAAACCAGCAGCACCTTTTCATGAGCAGTGCTATCAAAGTTTCAAGTTATCCCACTGAGCAAGTAATCCTGAAATTTGTTACTTCTGTAGAGCTGTACAGGGGGGTCAAAGTGTTTAGGGGAAGAAAAAATCTCGTATTAATTTAATTTAAAAAACACTACATTTCCGCAGTTACCAAAGTCATCCTCTAAAATGCGTTTGTTGGCTTTTGCCAGTCTACCAATTAGAATTCAAAACGTTGAAGACGTCAAATTCATGAACAAAATTACCTTACAACACAGTTCACAATTATACATTTGTCACAGTGTTAACAGTGGCGTGACGTTATCGAAAGACCAAAGAGTTTAGTGTTAACAGTGTTAAAAGTTTTACTTTTTTTGCAGGGAAAACTCACAAAATAGATTGTTTTAAACTCAACATAAAATTATTTATTACTTATATATAATTTTGTCTTGCTAACTGCATCGTGCTCTTTAAGATACGCTTCTGACAGCCACTGGAGCTACGCACTTTTAAATCTAGATTGAAAACTAATTTCTTTAGAACTGCTTTTCGTGTTTAGTTTGTAGCATGGTTGGCTACGTACGCTGCAAAAAAAGTTCAACATACATACATGGCCTACTCAGAAATAGGCTGTTTTGGCCCAGGAATGACCCAGGAACAGCCCCTGCACCTCTAATTAGCACGGTTGGCTACGTACGGTGGGAAAGAAGTTCAGCATACATACATAGACTGACACAGATACCAGTCGGCTCTCACAGAGACCCATAGACTTACACAGAGACCCACAGTTTGTTGTCTTTCCCCCGCACCTCCGATTAGAACAGTTGGCTTAGTACGGTGCTAAATAATTTCAACATACATTGTGATTATACCTAAACCGCCACCTCCCACCCCCGCTCACATTTCCACAATGTGGGGATGAATCCTGACTGAGTTCTGTGACTAAAGCGGACGTCTGTAACAATTTCCTGTTGCCAGAACGTAGGATGTGACTACGAGATCGACTCCAACGCCATGGAGGACCGCTGTGGAGTCTGCCAGGGTAACGGTTCCTCCTGTGAGACTGTCAAGATGACCTATGAAGAGACGGAGGGGCTCGGTAAGAAAGAGTGGCCACCATTGCACAGATCTGAATTTCCGCCTGGCTGTGAGCTGCAAACAAATGTCAATGTGTGTTCGTGTGCGCGCCATCTCAAAATTGTAAAAATAACATTGGTGCGAAAAGCAAAAGATTGTTCCGCAGCCTGGCAATAATTATATATCCCGCTTGCCGCATCACGTTGTTATTGTTGTATGTCGCGTTGATCAACCAATGTGTGCTTTTATAATGTCATTGTTATTTGTGACGATACATTATTTATTATTATAATAGTCACAGTGTAATGTATATTACACCTCACAACATAACAGAAACTCCCAACTTGCTGTACCTGTCATGACGACTGTACCATTCCTGTGGATATTGAGCACAGCCTTGCGAAAGATGCAGCTCCAAAGGGGCAGCACGTGTGGACTTTTCATTTCTGGCAGCAATTGGACAACTCAACACCCGAATGCTGGTTTCGTTATTATTATGACTCATCAGTACATTGTCTACATCTGCCATTTATGTCTTAAGTAGAGAATCTCCCCCACTACGGCCAGCCAGCCAGTCAGTTGCTTTTAGCCATATTGGCCATCGTCCCCATCTGATCACTGCCGGTTCATACAACCCCCTCCATATCTTTTTTTTCAGATGGCACCCACTGTACATGTGATCTCGACACCATCATCTACGTGTGACCTAGATACTGTGTACAAATCTGAACACCATCTCAATAATGGATGTTAAACATAGAGTGGGCTTTAGGTAGGACACGTTGCTAGAGGGCATGGTGGCTGGTGGCAGCTAAAAGAGGGCGATCGAAATGTCATGAATTCTGTTTTTATTTTTAATTTGTATTTCATTTTATTACTGAAAGAACCAAGAATAAGTCTACATTATAGACTGCCAGTACGCTCACTCAGTTTAATCACCATTGCTACAGTCTACATTATAGACTGCCAGTACACTCACCAAACTTAATAACCAGGCGACAGTCTACATTATAGACTGCCAGTACACTCACTCCGATTAAGAACCAGGCTCCAGTCTACATTAGTGTTTTTTTTGTTTTTTATTATTTGCATTTTATTTTATTCACTTTATTTTTTATTATTATTTTTCTATCTACGTGAATTTACCGGAAAAAAAAACAAAGAATAAGCCTCACCACTGCAGTGAATAGATCATATCATAAAGATGATGAATAAATATATTACTTCGCAAGTAAACTATGTTCAAGTGTTACCAAGGCCCCGGTGCATACTTTACAAATCCGGTCGCGACCATTCGTGCTGCCAGGCTACGTGGACGTGGGCCTCATCCCCGAGGGGGCCCGTGACATCCGAGTGGAGGAGGTAGCGGAGGCCAGCAACTTCCTGGCACTGCGGAGCGAGGATCCCGCGCGCTACTTCCTCAACGGGGACTGGGTCATCCAGTGGAATGGAGACTACAAGGCAGCGGGCACCACCTTCACGTACGCACGCAGCGGCAACCTCGAGAACCTCACCGCGCCGGGCCCCACCATGGAGCCCGTCTGGATACAGGTGGGGGCTTCTCTGCCGCTCTCGAGGTGTCCGCGTCGTTACACACGCGTGCAAGTGCGGGTCTTTTGATGCAGCTCCAAAACGCTGGTCAGTGCGGGTTTGTAAAAGAGGGGTCCCATGACCAATTCATATCTCGCTGGTCATTGGCGTTAAATGTCGCCAAGAAACAAAACTCAGGTGACCAAGTTCCTAGAAAGCCTGGATTCATTGTTCATAATTGCGGTGACGGTGCTGCTTTGGCAGCTGCTGCTGCTGCTAGTGGTGGTATTGGCAGCTCTTTCTCGATATGCATTCAGACTTCTCACCTTGCATTTGTTGCCAATGTGTGCCTGGAATAGCTGCTTTTCCAGGAGAAGAATCCAGGCATTCGCTACGAGTACACCATCAGGAAAGACACCGACTCCGACAACGACATTGCTCCTCCTGAGCTCTTCTGGCACTACATGCCGTGGTCTAAGTGCACAGTGACGTGTGGAGCAGGTGAGACGTGGATTTCTACTTTCCATTGTGTTTGTTGCACACATCAAGCTCAGGGAAGCAGAGTGTATCCCATTAGTGGCTCGATGTTTATGTCGATTTTAATCACTGAGCAAAATGTATGACAGGTCATTGCCTGAGGGTGGCGTGGGGGGGAAGGTGAGATCCTCAATTTTCAGCTCAAAACGAGATTGAACCATGTCGTGATGCAATTCTCGCTCTAATGCTCTTCAGTGGGTGGACAATAATAAGGCACTGGGTCTATTAGAGGGGAAATTAAGCGCGATTGCTCATTTCCATGATGATGCTGAAAACACCACGTGCACTTTTGGCTGTTATTCATTTGTGCCGTTAATTATAAATGTGTTGTATTCAGTGAGGAACGTGGCGGCCAAATAAATACCCTCAACCCCTTCATCCCCTTCTCCAGAGATATCATGAATTGCTGTGATTCATGGCCTCAATGACTATCGAAGAATAGATTTGTTTGGCTTACCACCATGGGGCTTGCGTTATTTCTTATTTAGTAGTAGTAGTACTGGTAGTAGTAGTAGTACTGGTAGTAGTAGTAGTACAAGTAGTGTGTCAATTCAGGTTGGTGTTGCTTCCAAAACTAAAACTCGGGTTGCCCAGTTTGTATAGCAATACGCTCTTGACTGCGCCACCACTCCACCGTTTTGCCAAAATAAACTACGGAAGACAGGTTTAAAATGCACCCTTTGCACTGAACATTTGACACGGCTATCTTGGCAAGGCAGATGCCAAATCAAGAGCAGACTTTCATTCACCTGGGCCAACTTGGCAAAAATATCTTCATTATTAAATAAAAAATATAAAGAGCGAATATATTGGAGCTGTAAAATACCAACTGCTTCATTTTAAGTTGCATAAGGTGTAAAATCATTCACCCCCATCTGTTTTTTTTTTGTAGAATCCTGTTTCTGAACCCGATCGCTGAAACACATTCCTGAATCGGTAAAACCCTGTCAAGTCTGCTGAGTAGCAATTAATATAAGAGCCTTCTCCCCATTTTTGTGGCTGTGCAAAAGCACGTTTGAATACAAATAAAAGTTCAGACAAGAGGCCGCTGGGTTTGAACCATCACCGCTTGAATTGTGTATGAAGCGGTAAGGCGAGCACTATTTTATGAACATGCATATGCACAAAACGTTGAATCACTGCACTTTTAAGTACCGTTAACTTTTGACCTATGTTATTTTAAAGTTTAATAGAGCATTTACATTTCAGGAAGCAAGCCAAAAGCTCCCATTTTTGCACATTACTCCTACAACGTTTGCCAATTGATGCCATGTGAAAAGCATTAAAATGACAGAGGCAAATATGTAAAACCAATGGAAAATGTATCTAAATTACATATGAACTTCATGTTAAAAAAAACATAATCCAACTGTAATAATTGTATGAAAGAATGTGTTAATTCTTATGAACCACAGTTAGCTATTCAGATTAATATTTAAACTCGTAAGCTCGAGTTTATACTCAAGTTAACGAATATGGGTTATACTGGTTAACTTCAAAGTTAATATTCTTGGTTCTTTCGGTAAAGTCACACCTGATGATGATTGGTTGTGTTGTAGTCGAAACGTCGTGAGAATTTTATTGTTTTATATTTTTATTATTTTATTGTTTCCCTTCTACGTGACTTTACCGAAAGAACCGAGAATATGAATCCCTGCAGTCACGAAAGCTTTAAATCAAAATTCAAATTTAATGTAGTTTTCCCCACGCAATTAGTTTTGTTTTTACACATCAATGTATGTACCAGAGGTGGTCTAACTTCTCGATCCTATAATCCACATACCAACAACATCTTCATATCGCCAAGAGCCGCAAGACACACAAGACTTTGCACATGGCTGTGGAGTTTTTAATTTAGAAATCTGGGTACGCCCCAGGCGTTCTCATTTCTAACTACACAGCCAGAGGGCTAGTGTCCCGGGCTGCTTTAGAAATCTGCGGAAGCACTCGAGGAGTGGCTCATGGCTAGCTTCACTGCTACTGCCGCAGGGTTTTTTTTCTTCCTGTTTGAAATAAAGATGTATTGAAGTTAGAATTACCAGCGTGTCTATATCAAACTCACCGAGAGCCACATGCAAACTCACGAGTCGCGGTTTTGACCACCCACCGTTGATTACTCTCAGGTTTAGAATGCAGACGCGTCAGTTTCCACAAGGGCAATATTTTATCCAAGCATACCATGCACAGCCATAGGCAGGTGACAAAGGCACAGGTGTACAAACTAAATTACCAGCGTAGCTGCTGGACACGAGTGGAATGTACTGAAACCCACCACACGGGTCTGGTTCACTCTCCACGAATCCATACTTCAAAGACCCCCCCCAAACCTCCACTCCACTCCTCCCACTCTTGAAATTGCCTCAAGCACTCAAAGAGCCTTTTGCCCCACTCTTAATTAAACTCTAGATGCCTTGGCTAGACAAGGTAAGGCAATGTACATTCCTAAACCTCATGTCATAACAAAGCACCATCAGACAGATCCTGAGAAAGAAAATGTACCAAATGCAAACACGTAACTTGTAAAATATAACCCTCTACTTGCCAGATTTTTTAATCTGTACAAAAAATATGACAATTTCCTGAGTGCGACGATACATTTTCATTGAAGGGATAGAGCAGCGGCGCATTCGTTACCACACTGCACTACGAACCCCGGATACTTGAGTTTGATTCTTGCCCACATTTACCATTGATGGCGAGTGAACTGGTCCTGGGCCAATATTTTCATCAACATGCACTGGCCAGCCCGGTTATGTATGGTCAAACAACGCCCATTATAAACACGGCATGGGCAAGGCTTAACCCAGAATGTTATTGACAAAGGGCTGCAAATAAGTTATTATTTCGATTTAAAGCTTTCGTGACTGCAAGGATTCATCTTCTTTGGTTCTTTCGGTAAAGTCACGTAGAATGAGAATAAAAAAATTAATTGATCAAATAAAATAACACAATAATATTCTCACGAGACTGTCCTCCAGACAGTCCCGTCCCTTCACCTGATGAAGGCCGCTTGTGTTGTGGCCGAAACGTCGTGAGAATATTATTGCGTTATTTTATTTTATCAAGTTGTTATTGTTTTTACATACCACAATCATACCACAATGATGCACTTATGCATACCACAATCATGGACTTATGCAACAATAAAATATAGAAAATCATTACACTTGACTTTGGAAATAATAACAAGAATAAAAAAAATTATACTAACAAAACTGTCCTGCATATGATTTGACTCAATGGTTTTAATGTACAAATGACCTCAGCTTTGCAGTGAATTTGCAAGCATCATTTTGTACTTGTGTTTCTGCAAGAGTCTGTCGTCAACTGGCAAGCTCTTGAGTTGTATCTGAAAATAATGCATGAGCTTTACTGGACATGCGGATGGAATGTAGAAGCTTGCAGATAAACCCAAGAAATATTTTTTTTTTAAATCTATTCCAGATGGCGGTTTAACCGGGCAGTTTGAAGTATTTCAATTCGCCTGGAAAGGATTTAGCATGAACTTGTAACGATAAGATTTTACGTAAACTATCTTGCAGTTTGTTCTCCTATTTATCATAAATATATTATATGGGTAATATTTTCAATTAGATGACATGGCTAGAGATACTAATGGTGTAACGATTAATCGATTCTTAAACTGTTATCAATTCTTAAGATTACAACTTGAATATATGTAATGGATTCACATGACCCCTGCATCCACTAAAGGCAACTACATTCACTACAATGTAAAAACAATAATCTGGAATGGAAATGTGACCCTAAATCTTGAAAAGTCACAAGAATAATTACACCCCTGAGAGATACAATTTGTCTTCAATATTCACAATCAGTCCTGGACTGCACATAACAATGAATAAGAACTAATTAATACAAAACATTTACACAAATACTTGAAATCCTGGGGTGGAGTGGTGATGCAATGGTTAGCACACTGCACTATAAACTCAGCCTAGAGACCTGAGTTTGATTCCAGACCACAATATCTGTGCAAAGGGATATCTGTACCAGTCATCATATCTCCCTCTTCACCAACCAGTAGTGACCCATAATGGTGAAGTATGGTCAAACAACACCGACGTCATCGGGAGGCCTTAATTCAGCAACATTGATCAAGGGCAGAATAAAATAATGATTGGTATTGACTTGAGCTCTTGCTGCTATACAGTGCCAACTGAGAATGTGTTGACATGGAGGCATTTACACTGGTAGGAACGAAGTTGTAAACTGAGTGTATCAGCCTGCAATAGATTAATGTGTCCGTCCGTCCGTCCCCTTTCAATACTTTAACGAAGTGAAATCTCGTGCTGTTGGGTGTAAAATCAGCAACAGACAGCGCAGAGACTTGTCCTACCAGCCCACCCTGCAGGGACCTGTTTTTGAATTGTATTCATATCAATAAGCAACAGTTAATTGTTCAATAATGATATCGAAATGTGGTAATGACCTTTGGATGGCTTGCATGGTTTTGAACACAGATCAGTGTCCTGTAAATATGTATTTTGTCATAAAGGGCACTCTCTAATGTGTAAATATAGAAAAAAAAGTGTCATCTCTCCCCAGGCCAGATTTCTATTGCATGTGTGAAGCGTGTCAAAGAAAGCAAATGAAAGCAGTGTCCATCAAACTCCTCTAAATCCAACAGGCAATTCCACCACAAAGCTTACCTCTCAATATTTTAATTACATTACCATGTTTTCTGATAGCGCTGTAAGTTTTTTTGCAATTAAATTTATTTCACTAACCTTTACGACAAAGATTGTACAGCTTCTGGAAAATGATCGATTTGTAGAAATAACTATATAACTCAATTCTTTTTACCATTTTGGTGTTTGTTATTTTAATTGGGGAAACTAAAGTGTAATTTTATGCAATGTGTATGAAATACATAAAAATGGTAGGATTGATGTGTTGCCACGTTGCAATTTTTTTCTAAACTGTGTACAAGATAGCATAGTGCTTGCCAGTTTGATTAATAGTTTCATACAAGACTATCGCATTACTTTTTTGGGGGGTACTTGGGTCCTTCTAGCGCAAGCTATGTTACAAAGAAACCATAGACGGGTGATGAGTGGATGGTGATGGATAAGATGGGTGGCAGATGGTGATGGAGATCACGTGTGGTGGATGCGATGGAGATGACGAGTGGTGACTGATATGATGATGGTGGGGATAATAAGTATATTTGTCATTCACTCCATTCTTATAACACGAAAATATCATGAAGGTGCCAGCTAGGTGTATAACTCGTAAGCTTTACAGAACATTTATGTATTGAGTCTCATGCAGAACTGGCTGACATTGACAAATCGCGGGCAGTGACCTGCAGTAACTTACATGTAGATGGGCTGGTCACCACAAAACTACAGGGGCCCTAATGATTGATATGAATGTTATGGATGATGATGATCATCATGATGATTATGTAATTCGTGATGAAGATGATGACACTGAATGTGACTGATATGATTACATAATTGAAGACAGCATACCCGCTACATGTCGTTCGTTGACCAGGCCAGCGTGCGCTTGAGCGCGTGCGTGTCTGTCCCACCAGGTGTGCAGCGGCAGACAGTGAGCTGCCTAGAGAGGACGGCTGGCATCGTGGAGGAGAAATTCTGCAATTCCACAACACGACCGGACGATCGCCAACGTGCGTGCAACGAGCAGGACTGCCCCTCCCGGTGAGCATTTCTTCGTGCACTCCCCCCTGTCAGCCCTCCTGTATGGCAAGCGGCTATTTATATAGCCAGCTAGCTAGCTAGCTTTTTTTTCATGAATCACAGTTGCTAAGCACAGGCCCAAAGGCCGAACATGCCAAAGTGGGCAGCAATAAACAACACTCCTGATCGTGTTGAAGGTGCAAAAGATGGCTGAGTAGTGTGCGCGGCTCGCAATCAGAAGGTTGCCAGTTCAAATCCGGGTTAAAAATGAATACCACTTTGTGTGGCGAAGTCAGCAGTTGTCCGTTGGATGGACTTGCCCCCGCAATAAGGATGAGACATTTCCACCTTTGACTGTATAGAGCAGATGAGCACCGCCTCAATGCTTGTTTGAGCGAGATATTACTTTAATTGAGCAAAGTAACATATTGGCGATGAGAGGGAATTCCAATGTTGAGCAGAGCGTGGAGAGACGTGTAATGAAACCTGCGGTGTGGTGGACAAATGCAGTGTGGATGAGACAAAGCACGTGTGGTATTCTCTGTGGTATTAACCCCGCCATGCTTGTCCTCACCACAATGAGCACGTGCTGGTAATTCAAGACAGCGGTCGGACCATGTGTACATTTAAAGTTGTCTATGCTGGGAATTTGGAAAATATTGTGCACATTGGGACCTCGTTGTGTGCACACACTGCCAAGCGCGGTAGCTGTGCCATCATTTCGCAACAGGGGTGTGATCTGATTGGCTCAGTATACATCGCTCTCATTAGCTGTGCGGAATGATGGCGGTGGGGTACATTTCCTTTGCCTGAGTGACGTGTTCTCGCTCTGAAGCGTTTTATAAATCAGTTTAAAGTCGTAGGCTTTCGTGAGCAATATCATCCATAAGAGGTTTTTTGGGTTAGATCGTGTAAATATATAAATGTGTCGTTAAACCTGCCACCACCTGACACAGCCAATTAGTAAGGTTTGTCACGTAAACAGAACATGCCAATTTGTTACTAGCTTCATCAGGCGACAGCCAGACAAATCTGGATGTTGCCTGATGAAGCTAGTTGTAATTACCGGCGAAACGTCGTACTCAGATTGTAAATGTGGCTTGGCTCTCCAACACACCGGTGTGCTGTACTAGTGACGAATTGGCACATTTTGTTTACGTGACAAACCTTACTAATCGGCTGTGTCAGGTGGTGACGGGTTTAACAACACATTTATAAATGTACGCGATATAACCCAAAAAGCCTGTATATGATCGTTTTATATATGTTTTTATTTTGTTATATTTTTTGTAAAAAAAATGTCTCCAGCACAAAGAGCGCTGTAACGCATCAGCATTCTAAGGGATCGTGCTAAGCGAGATCTGCCTGCATTGTTCATTGTAGTGTTCGATGGTGCCATATGACCACGCAAAATGTAAATGATTAAGCTTCATTAATTGGATGCCAAAAATTAATGTCAGCACAATGGCATATTGTGCCCAGCATTGGGCCCTCTTCCATTTTTTTTATTTTAGTGTTTCATTCATTTGCCAATTTTATTCCAAATTGTTCGTTAAAATAATTTCATAAGCAGAAGTATCCATGAATCCGTGTTGGAGTATGGCCATCTGTGGAAGGAGATATTAGAATGCACTTACACATTTGGTGAAGTTCAAGCGATACCCACATTATTTGATTGGATCTCCATAGCGTCTACACAGTTAGAATCACTCTCTACAGTGAAATCCGGTAGGATTGAGGTTTTCTTGGGTAAACAAATGTAATACAAATTCAAAAAAAACTATAATGTTAACCGAGGAAATGTACTTTAATGGACGAGGCATAATGTTGTCATTGACATAGCCCGAGGCCCTGTTTGCTCCATGTACGTGAGAGCTCTTGTTCGACTCTATAGTGAGCATGGGTACCTCATACATTATTAATATGCAGGTAATCAATAACGCATGGGCTCTTTTAATACATGAGAACTATGTTGCAATCGTGAAATATAATTAGTATTGATTTTAAAACATCATCCGTAGGGTTTGCTGGTGGAAAATTACTTTTCCGGTGGGAATGTGTTCAGGAAAAAAAAAAACGTTCTAGCAAACTTATTTTGAAATAATAAAAAAATACAACTAGGTGCGTAAACATGCATCGATTCATCGAATAAAACACAATCTTTCACATTATAAATCACGTTTAATATATATATTTTTTTTATTTAGACTCGTTCGCACAAACTCCATCGCACAATGCTGCACAATCTGCAAAGCGTGACTGGGCATATTGATTTAAGATGTTTCTAGCAAATTACTGCGTGTGTATACCTGTGGGATACAACTGGAGCACGCAGAAAGGGCAACACGATATCCCATACAGATGGGACAGATGATTTAAGTCTGCTCATCGCTGTACCGCCTTCTCCTGGCGAGCGAGGGTATGGCATCTCTATGGCAACAGGACGGAAGTTTCCGTACATTTGTGTGGTTCCCCCAACCCTTGCCACCACAGCGCTGCATATTGTTGCATGCCTATGTGATTATTATCATATACAGTGTACAACTGGCTATATATGTACGACAAAAAAATAGACATTCGTACAAAAGCAATGTTTTCGCATTTGAATTGTCTGCATATTTGCATAGAATGTATATTATGTTATACCCAGTGGCTGGCAATCAGTGCAAGCTAGTGAGTGATGGGTTTGGATTAAATATAATGAAGTGGCTGAATGTCTCAAGAGGTCAGACCACTGAGCCAGTACCGCTGAGATCCTGGGTTTAAATCCAGGCAGCTACCTTGATTAAACCGGGTTTTCAAGTGCAGTAAGTTGATGGTGTCAGCCTGAACACCAATTACTGCAACAGCAACAAAATTCAACACATTACAGTTTTTGTGAGTGTTTAATTTGGCTAAATTCAGCTGTGAGAATTAAATATCGATTTGACCGTTATGCGAAGAACATTTATCTCATCTTATCTGAACGAAATTTATATAGTACCTTAAATAAGGCGCTTTACATAGAATCAAGAATGGTACAAAATGAATGTAACGGTGGAGATGAGGTGAATACAATATATGAGAGGAAGTAATGGACAAATCTGTGATGTGTGAATTAGGTAAAAGTAAAATTGATGAGAGCAAAGATGATGAATCGATTAATGGATGGAGAATGAGTGGTCACCATGTAGAGAGGTGATGAAGAGGGAGCCGGAGCGATAGTGGTTATTAAGGGGAGATTAAGGGCTCGTGGGGTGAGCTAGAGAAAAAAGTGAGTTTTGAGGGAGGAGCAGAAACTCAAGAGCGATGATGACTGCTTGAACGTGCAGCGTCAGTGGGAATGTGCTGCCTTCTATATTGTGGACCAGAGGTCACTTGAATGAATCTCACAGGTAGCTCTGTGATTCCTGCATCTGTGTCCCATTCTCTCACGAAGAATCGCATTGCTCTGCAAAATATCTGAATGAAAATCGTTGTCTCATTACATGACACAAACAGCACAATTGGTATAAAACTGGGGGACATGGCAAAAATCGTAAAGTAAAAAAATTGCACGTAATCTTCTAAAGGGATTATTTTAAGATTGCTTCCTGCTGTAATCAATTGCACCACAGCTGCATTCTTGGCTGATTTCAATACTGACTTGCGAGTGAAAACAGGTGCAATTACCCCAATGATGAATTGCTAGATCTGTTAAGTATAAATTCCGTTAGGAAATTACAACATGGGTTTGCACATTAATGGCAGATCAGGCGCTGTATTCAGACAACAATGCCAGAATAATAACTTCAGCACTGTGGTGACAGATGGTAAAGGTTTGTTGATTCAAAAATGTATGCCATTTCTGCTCAGCAATGCTGAACTGAGAGACCTCATCAGTGTACACCATCTGTTGTAATGTAGGCGTTAATAGATTGTGTGAAACGTACATGTAATAATAATAATACTATGGTAAGACGACCCCATGTCAAATTTGGGAGGGGGGGTATCCTTTGGAAAAAGTTAACTTAATGTAAAGCAACCTACGAATGTATCTCAAGAAGGAAGAAAGGAAACAGTGCGTGCTACCTGCTATGACGTGGCTCAGAAAAAAATGGATGTTGTAAAAGAAAGCTGAGAAAATTGTGTAACAGAATTCCGAAAGGTACATGATTGGAATTCCACTGAGAGATGAAGAGAGCAACACATGCACAAGTTAGAAATACAGTGATTGTTGAGGAACGTGAGTGGGCTTGGGCACGAAACGTCATGGCTAAGAAGGGGACAACGGAGGTGGTCGCGTATGGTGGGGTACTGCGTGCGTACATCTGAGCAGCATGGAAGGATAGGCAAAAATTACCCTTTAGAGGGGCTCTCTAGAACTCCTTCGAGTGGAGATCTGTCTGCCAGCATTGGCAAGTAATGTCAGGACTGCACCTTTATCCTCATACCTGTTATCCATATGCACGTTTTACCGTGAGGATAAAATTAGTAATTTGTATGAATAAATGCAAATAATAGGATATATCTGGAGTGTCCCGTGTCAAATCAGATAAAAGAAGTATTTATCTCTGTAGCAGTAATACATAATCAGAATAGTAACAGACAATCTTTAGCAAATAAAACTTTGTAAATACTGTAGACACAAAATGATACGTTTCTACTTCCTACAATCACAAAAAATAATAATTTAGAAATATATTCAAGTCACACAACATGAACTTAAATATCACAGATTTATTGTGAAAGTCCCATTGTGCAAGAATTAATTATTAAAAAATGGAAATGCAATGTTAAGGCATACAATGCTTGAGCTGCTCATGTCTGAGAGTTCAAATACACGCAGGCTTAACTTAGCATAAAATCTGCATACAATAAATAATTACTAAAATATTACTTTCTAAAGTGCAAGATTGTGAAGCTGGGAAATGCTTGTAGCCTGTTGCCTACCACTATTATCCCTGAGATGAAGAACATTTAAAGAGAAAACTTTTGGTTCAGAAATTTAAAAAAACCGGAAGGCATTGAACATATTTTATCTGCACACATAAAATCAGAACTGCTACAAACTATACACAACTTCAATCGAGGAAGGAGATATGTGAAAGTCAAATATCCACATCAAAAGATTTTGTTTCAAACGAAATACAAAAATAGACCTCACGTCGTATCTCCACATTGAAATGAAATAAACATTTATTCCATCATGATTGGGATGTTTATGTAACCAGCAGAATTTGTTTAAACAATTATATTACGTCTTGATTTGAAGCTTTCGTGACTGCAGGAGTCCATACTCTCTGGTTCTTTAGGTAAAGTCACGTAGATAGAAAAATAACAAAAGAAAACACGACGTTTCGGTCGCACACAACAGCAGATAATTTTCTCACCTGAAGACGGACGCTTGTGTTGCGACCGAAACGTCGTGTTTTCGATTGTAATATTTTTCTATCTACGTGACTTTACCGAAAGAACCAGAGAGTATAATTATATCATGTCCTGCTTTCAATACTCTGGATCAACAAACTCGTCTGCTGACGACACCTAGGCGATCAAAACCGCGCTAGAATTTAACTTGTTTTATTAAATGCTGCTGAATAAAATATGTGTGGAAGACCTGTGGTCTGATGGACTAAAATATATATTATGCATTATTCCAAAAGAGTGATCGATATGCTTTTTATTTAGACTATATTTTAAAACAAGCAAGCTTCCCTATTAGCAAATCTCTGTCGCCTGCCAAAGTGTGTGGAGGTCAGGACAAGCAAAAAAGTAATGCAATTTAAGAGAGTGATTGTGTGTTTAGGATTGGCCTGCCATGCAATAATTGTGTTAAAAATGATTAAATTAGAAATATACGAACAAGCATCGCGCCAAATGTGAAATCTTGGCAAGACCCTCCTGAAAAACAGTCATAACTCGTGATAAAAAAATAAGTGGGATAATAATGGGTCCTTGTGAGTTTTGCAGATTCTTGCCATTATGCTGTTTAACCTAAATATATTACTTCCGCACGTATTACAGGACAATACTGTATATTTAAGTGAGTATAACATACCCAACTTATAAATTGCATGTATATACTGTAACTATTGAACAGTTCTGAAATTGTATGCATAATGTCAATTGTTTGCCTGGAAAAGCATCACTGAGTCTCAAACACTAATAATCAGGAGGGTCCTGCTACATTGAGATATTTGACCAATCCTATTACTGAGTGTTTGGCTTTGTAGAAATAAACTGGAGATACGACAGGGTGACATTCACCATTGCCATCTTATGTCCACCTCAAGACATATGGTGTATTTTTTTAAATAAACATCACCATACAGTTTTGCCATCATTTTGAAAAATTATGTTATGAAGCTCAGTTTGTTATTTTTCTATCTAAACAGAAAGGCACACGTGTTGCCAGCTGTATTTGACAGTAGTCAAATATGGCACAACACATCACACATTCTGGCAGAAGGCCATGTACCAGAGCTCAATCTACACACATCCACTCAATAAAATGGAGCAATTATTTTGTCTTTTGTCTAGCCTTTTAGATGGGTGGAAAAAAATCCCACGACACACCTGCATGCGTACGTTTGTTAGAAAATATTTATTGATTAAAAAAATATTGAATGATATGGACAAAATTCGCTCGTGGGACATTTTAGATCTTGAGCCTTCCTTAATTATTAAAAAAAGGGGGAGATGGATGATAGAGTCCTGTGCACAATGCTGCCGCAAGTTTTCTCTATTTGGTCAAGAATAATGTTTAAAATATTTATACACCCTCTGTATTCAAACGTTCATAGGTTGCTTACGCTGTACTTACAATGATGCAAACGTCTCAATGTAAGACTCGCTATCATTGGTGTCACCGATGACTTCAGTGGTAATTTTTTTTTATTAGATACAAGAAACCATGGCAATATATTAAACCATGAATCGCTTAATTAATGTGACAGCTAACCTATCCATGCTGTTTATGGTAGTCAATGCTTCACGTTGAACATAAATCAAAATCAGAGGCTCTTCCAAAATTTTACTTACATCTTTTTTTTTTAAATATACCTATATCCTTCCTCGAAACAAATAATACTAATTTATAGTCCTGTCGGTCCACTGCTGGGTGAAGGCCTCCCATACTGTCAGTTATGGGAGGGTTTTTGTTTACCATTCTGCACTACGCTGGTGAGTGCTGATTGGTAAACGGGATTGGTAAAAGAGTCCAGCACGTGTCCCAGTATCACTAGCCACTTCGTTAACCACGGCCAGGAATTGAATTTAGATCACCATATGCAAAGCACAGTGAATGAACCACTGAACCACCATGTCTGCGTTTGTTATAGTAGTCTGCTTTTTATTTGACCCATACATGTGTTGTAAACTAGGCATATATGTAAGGTCTCATACAGCTGATGTTTACTGAATAAATCTCATCATACTGTGATGTGTGTACAGCATACATACAACTGTAGTAATAACCTCTATTATTGCAACAATGTCTTTCTCTTTCTGATATTAACCTCCCCGTGGCTTATAGGCCCTATCTACTCCTGTGTCCTCTGCGATCCACACCCAATACTCAGCTATCCCCGCCCTTTGCCCATTTCATGAGTCGAGCATGAGTCCAAAGAGTATTAAACCAGGACAAAAGTCCAGAACATCACGAATACTTCATGAGACATTGGAACAGCCTTTCAAAAACAGGACTGATCAGGCCAAACCAGGACATTTCGTAGTCTTAGCAATGCTTTAGCAACCGCAAATTGAGTCGGTGCCCTCTCCTCCTCCCTCATTTCATCAGGTGGTGGGCAGGAGACTGGCAGAAGTGCTCCGCCACGTGTGGACGTAATGGCACGGCGCATCGCACAGTCCTGTGCTTGCGCAGCATCGGGCCGGATGCACAGAAGGCTCTCCCCAACTCCGAGTGCCAACATCTGCCCAAGCCCAAGCTGCAGAGCTCCTGCAACCAGCACGTGCCGTGTCCCTCGCGATGGGTGGTCGGCAACTGGACTGAGGTCAGAACGGGAAACCCGCAATGGCATTCAATCACTGCGGGAGCAGCCATCCACAGCCTCTGCTCCCTTGCCACCCTGTTTATTTACTTTCAAGCATTTGCGTTGGTAGCTCTGCGATTTGTTTTTGACTTTTACCGCATGTTGTTCAGCAGGGTGTTTTGACATTTCGGTCCACGTGCTCAGAACTCAATTCTGTTTCTGAAGAAGCACCCAGCAGGTGGAGCATAATGTTGGACATCATGCCAAACAAGGTGCAACATGAAAACATCGGAGCTGTAACAGAACAGCAACAAAGATCTAAGTAGCAGTATTTTTTGTTGTTGATAACCCATGTGGTGGAATGTTGCCGATGGTGAGCAAATAAGGTTGCATGTGGGTCAACAGCTCACGTATTTATATTCTTAGCTCTTTCGGTAAAGTCACGTTGAAGGGAAACAAAAAAATAATAAAATATATATATAGAACAATAAAAATTCTCACGACGTTTCGACCATAATACAAACGGTCATCATCAGGTGTGAAAACCCAACGGCAAGAAACATTTGAAAGAAGTGGCGGCCTGTATTTATTTATTTATTTTAAGCGGTGCATTTACTTATTTAAAAAACGTTAGCACCACGGGCAGCGATTGGCAGTTTGTTTAGAAGGACTAGTCCATCTATGTTCTGAAAAGAGGAGGGGGGAGACGAAAAATTCATGTATGCTGTCTGAAAGCCACCGTAAGCATGAACAATCAATTAAGACCTGAAATGGTTTATCAAATCCTTCCAATGATTGCTAAGCCAGAATCCATCTTCTCAGTTGAAGTTGTCTCTGTGCTTGTATATGTGGATAGCCTCATGAACGAATCTCTCATGGTAGCCAGATGGCTTACAAAGAACCTCTGTCTTGGAGAAGTCAATGTCATGTGAGCCTACTGAATTATACCAATGATCTGCCACGGCCGAGGTGTTGGTCCTACCGTGTTTAAGGTCTGCTTTGTGTTCACGAATGCGGTCCGAGACATGGCGTTTGGTTTCTCCAATGTAACTACTACCACAGAGGCAACTTAGTTTGTAGACACCAGGTACTGTATGTCCGGAATCACATCTTTTACAGACGGAACCAGATTACGGATTTTATGTAATGTGTTGAAACGGACCTGGATCTTGTGTTTATTCAAGATTTTGGAGATCTTTTTTGTGATCCCCGCAATGTAGGGTAAAGTGATGGTTTTGAAAGGCTCCTCAAGAGGGTCCTTCTTCATGGTTTCAGTGATAGCTTTGCGGATTGTATAGTCGGAGTAACCATTAACCTTAAGAGCTTGGTGTACGTGCTTGAGTTCATTGCCTATGTGTTCCTGGTCGGATATGCATTGGGCTCTATGGTACAGAGTCTTAATGAGAGAATTCACAAGATCCAGGTCCGTTTCAACACATTACATAAAATCCGTGATCTGGTTCCGTCTGTAAAAGATGTGATTCCGGACATACAGTACCCTGGTGTCTACAAACTAAGTTGCCTCTGTGGTAGTAGTTACATTGGAGAAACCAAAGGCCATGTCTCGGACCGCATTCGTGAACACAAAGCAGACCTTAATCACGGTAGGACCAACACCTCGGCCGTGGCAGATCATTGTTATAATTCAGTAGGCTCACATGACATTGACTTCTCCAAGACAGAGGTTCTTTGTAAGCCATCTGGCTACCATGAGAGATTCGTTCATGAGGCTATCCACATATACAAGCACAGAGACAATTTCAACCGATAACATGGATTCTGGCTTAGCAATCATTGGAAGGATTTGTGGCTTTCAGACAGCATACATTAATTTTTCGTCTCTCCCCTCCGCTTTTCAGAACATAGTCGTCCTTCTAAACAAACTGCTAATCGCTGCCCGTGGTGCTAACGTTTTTTTAAGGGTTTTTTTAAATAAATAAATGCACCGTTTAAAAATAAATAAATGCAAACCGATACTTCTTTCAAATGTTTCTTGCCGTTGGTTTTTCACACCTGATGACGACCGTTTGTGTTATGGTCGAAACGTCGTGAGAATTTTTATTGTTTTATATATATTTTATTATTTTATTGTTTCCCTTCAAAGTGACTTTACCGAAAAAGCTAAGAAAATGAATTACTGCAGTCACGAAAGCTTTAAATCAAAATTTAACTCATATTTGTTACAAATAATTTTGAAATGTATTTGTTGCACATGCAACAAGCTGCCTTTATTTGCCAAGTGGGGTCATGTGGTGGTCATAGCAACCCAACTTCTATATCCATCATGCTGTATTTAATTTTGCATATAGATACGTGGAGATGTTCAATCATTAAGGTTAATCGCTCTTCATGAGAGTAAACGACGCAGCCCCAATTGTAATTTTTTCATGTTCACCTTTTTCTTATTCTGTATATTCAGAGGCCGAGCAGACACTTTCCCTTGCCTACATTGTCTGCGCTCCCCAGGCCAAACTGCCCAGGCAACAGGGGAGGGTAGGGGTCAGGCCTCCCAGGGGTTTTGTATCGTAGACATAGTCTGCTGTGATTTTGCAATTGGGAGTAATGTCGTTGTGTCTCTTCCCTGTTGATTTGTGCAGATTATTTTCTAATTTGGCAATAATGGACCAATACCTCAGCACACGTGGCTATGCCTATACGTTGTTAATAATTGTAGATTTCGGCTGAGATTAACTTTAATGGCTCAGTAATGTGCAAGCATGTTGGGAAAAAAAACAAGCAATAACGTTCCATTGTTCAGAATTGGATTTGTAAAACATTGGAATGCATGCAACAAAGTTGTACATCAGAAACTTAAACCTGTTCATCGTCAGCTTGACACGTACTGTTACATTGCTGTTCAAGTACAGTGTACAATGTAAGCATACAACACACAGGATCACACGTATACAGTCATGTGCATGTACACACGCTTGTGCATTCACATACGCCTGTGTACATATGTGTCACGTCTATGCATATTCACACTCAGACACACGTGCTTGTGGAGGTTGTGTACATTGGGGGTGTGTCAGGTTGTAAGCCTGATTAAAAATTAATTTTCCGCAATCAGGAATGCAGCCAGTATCGTGACAGCCCGAGAAAGTTGCTATACATAGAAGAGCACTGAGTGCCAAGACTTGAGCATTATTTACACAGGTTTTTGGCCAACACTGCCGAGATCCGCAGGGTCATAGTGCAAATAATCAGTGAGGAGCTTTGAGGGAGCCAGTGGCATGCATGGAAGGCAGCTCATTTAGCGCCTCTCGAGAGAGTGAGCATAAAAGGCTATTCTGTAAACCCAAGTTTCCATGACAGTGAGAAATGAGGCAGGAAAGGCAACGGTCTCCACAATGTGTGGGTGATTCTTTGCAGCGCGTTATTTTAGCTTAAATGTGTTTTTTTAATACATATTTTAGTCTAATGTGATGCCAAAGTGGCACAGTGCTAACACGTGTGCCTCACAGCAATACACACCTGGGTTCGATTACTAACTCAGGTGTCTTTTCTGTGAGAAATTTGTATGTTATCCCACTGTTTTGGGTTGGTTTCCTCTGAGTTGGCCAACGATTCAAATGCTGAAAAATTACCTGCAAATTACTGAATTGGGTTTACTCCCCTCAAGAATCTTGAGATTCAAGTAGGCTTTCCTGGGTCAACAAGTGTGTCTATTATAAAATAAATATGGACAAATTAATATAAAATAGCCTTTGGAGACTATGAAATTCAACTTAAAGCAAATTAATTCAGTCATCAAATTGATTGAAGCTCTCACAAACCAAGGCCTAAGTTTAGAATTTAAAAAAATCTAGAAATGAGAAAAAGTATCTTGTGTTTATTCAAGATTTTGGAGATCTTTTTTGTGATCCCAGCAATGTAGGGTAAAGTGATGGTTTTGAAAGGCTCCTCAAGAGGGTTCTTCTTCATGGTTTGAGTGATAGCTTTGCGGATTGTATAGTCGGAGTAACCATTAGCCCTAAGAGCTTGGTGTACGTGCTTGAGTTCACTGCTTATGTGTTCCTGGTCGGATATGCATTGGGCTCTATGATACAGAGTCTTGATGAGAGAATTCTTCTGTGATGGATGGTGGTGGGAATCCGGTTTCAGATAAGCATCCGTATGGGTAGCTTTCCTGTAGACAGAGTGGCTCATTGAACCATCAGGTCTCTTTTTAATTAGGACATCCAAAAAAAGGTATCTTGCCATCTATTTCGACTTCCATGGTAAATCTGATGGCTGGGTGTATGGAATTGATGTGGTCGAAGAATTGGTCTAGAGCAGGCCGGCCATGTGGCCAGATGACAAAAGTGTCATCCACGTACCTCTTCCATAAGGTTGGGCGCAGAGTGGCAGTCTGGATGGCGTCAGTCTCAAATTTCTCCATGAAAATGTTAGCTATAACTGGAGAAAGGGGGGAGCCCATTGGGGTGCCCTCAGTTTGTTTGTAGAAAGTTCCATTCCAAGTGAAGTATGTATTGGTTAAACAGTGTCTCACCAGGGGGGTACCTCAGTGTTTAGTCCTTGATGAACCAAGTCTTCAATGATTGCAATGGTCAGGTTCAGGAACCTTGGTTAATAAGGAAACTACATCAAAACTGACAAGCAGGTCGTCTGGGGACAGGGAAATACCCTTGATTGTTGATACCAGGTGAGTAGAATTTTGTACCGCAGAGGTGGTCTTTCCAGTGAAAGGACGCAGGATTTCAGACAAAAAACGAGCTAGTTTGTAGGTGGGTAAGCTGATAGTAGAGACTATGGGACGAAGAGGTGTATCAACTTTATGTATTTTTGGTAAGCCGTATAATCTTGGTGGCCTGGCAGCAGAAGGTTTCAACGAAAACTGTTTAGATTGATCAATTAATGCGGTTGAATCAGAAATTATTTTGTTGGTTTGTGTGACGAGGCTGTTGGTGGGATCTCTTTTTATTTTTGTATAACTACCATCGTTGAGTAATTCTTTAATTTTGTTGTTGTATTCTATTTTATCCATGATGACAGTAGCATTGCCTTTGTCAGCTGAGAGA